CTGTGGAGGAAACGATAATAGCCAGCAGATGCTTGTACGCACAGTGCCCCAAGACGATTGCTTCCGCTGATTAACCTACTAACTCCTTTTGCACAGACGAAGGTGTTATTGGAACTGAAAAAATGTGTTTCGTTAATATTGAATACAAAAATGGTGACCGGTTGTTCATGATTGACTGTGGCAAGCATTATGAAGTGGATGCAGGCACTTGCGAGTGCAATTGTCGAACATTTCTGACTTGTCGATATTCTTGTCGTCATATACTACTGGCATATGTAAAAAGACGAACTCTTACAGGTAAGCTTAATCAATTACGAAAATTTTACAATATTCTCTTTCATATCCTCTTGTTTGCTATTAGTCCTTACTATCTCATAACCACATATAATCTGACTTGTCTCTTATAATTTTTACCATTAGTTATATTCATAGTAGTACGATATATTAAATTGATATCTAACCCATAATACAAATGCTATTACCATCTAATTTCCTTGTAACATGGAACTTGTAGAGATAGTGTATTCCAACTATGGTCTTTGATTAAAGCAATATTCATACTGACTACAAACGTAAGAGAGCCTAACATCATAAAAGGAGGGAGGGTGGCGTTACTGACCAGCAAACATGATGGTGGGGAGATAACTTCAATCCACTTGTGTCTGTAGGGCAGAACATATTAATTGCGGCTGCTTATGTCTAGTGGAATGTCACGAACCAACGGTATTGATGCGAAATTATTCATGAAAAATACCACTTTAGATCATGTTAAAAAAAAGCTAAATTGGTTCCACTTCCCACCGAGTAATCCTATTACAAGCAAACTAGACAATTGGCCAAAAAAAGAAGCTCACTCTATACCCTATAAAATCTAAAAACAAAAAAGAGAGTTCAAACAGCTTCGAAAAAAAGGGAGATAGCCATTTGTATCGGAATACTGTTTTCAGTACTTTATTTTAAAATTACGCAATTCCATACTTCCTTCCGAACTACCTTCACTTATACAGTTTCTTATCCACCTTGACCACACTTATTTTTCTTCAACACATTAGTATGTTCTTACCTAATAAATACTTCAGTAACAGACAAATAGACTAAATGGTTATACATTAGCTATTCCTCCATGAATATTGTGTGCTCTGCTTTTCGTCCTTCCTTTTTCAGCCTCCTGCAGATACTCCACCGAAAACAGATATGGCACGGGTGACTTCGTCCTACACCGTTATTAAAGCCTCAGATATTCCGGAGGGATATGAGTTCGAAACTTCTAAAAGCCCCCAACTTCGCATGTATCTATTCTCGACCATCAGTTGTATGTTGCAACGCTACCTCCATAAAGTGCGCCAAGTGTGATATTGATATATTCTTACGAAATCCATTTACATTCATATCTTATGAAATATCAACCAGATGAGTAATTTTCAACAGTGAAAATTGTAACTTCTTTAACAATTTGATCTTGCCTTTAGACCGGCATGCCTCATGTAACAATCTGTTATTTGAGAATAAATTATTATTAGTATTATTATTATTAAATAAACTGATAAGCTCATCACATTCTTAGACCATGCAGCTGATGGAAGTCAAATAGCTCACATAACTTCCATTATAATACAACAACATCATTACCGAGACGGAGTAAAGAGCATATACGGATTCAAAGAAGCCAAAAAATCCACAAACAACAGATAATTGAAAAACATGGTGAACACTTCGCCATGAAGGTGGAGAAAAAAGTAGACAATTTTTATTGAAGAATTATCAATAACTAGGACACACTGCAATTTCTCAAACATTTCTCTTCGTGCAGCCCTCTTTACGATCAGTATATTCGGATGAATAATTGGAGTGACATTGTTTCCTAATCACATGGTCTCCGGAGCCAAGCATATAATAACTGAAAAGATGTCTATTCGACATATAACACTTGGGGAAGGTCGGTAGTGGTGGGCGTGGGGACATTCATTCAATCGAATGGCATGGCTCACTATTGCAGACGTGCTCATTATGTTTAACTTATTTATATTCACAATAAATATATTATTCTATCCCAAGCGTAAATGTGTTCTCCAGAAGTTCTAAATATTATTGTTGGTCGTCAGGATACGATGAGTCAGTATAGATAGTGATGCGATTTCCACGTAAGATCTTACAAAATAGGCAATCAAACGATAAATTTACCGTTTTCGGACAACGTCTATTATAAAAGTAGTATTAGTACTGAAATAGACTATACACATACTAACAAGATTTATAATGCAAATAACTGTACAGTTGTTATATTTATATTATATTTAGATAACTCATCAGATGAATAAACACGGTAGTAGTCAATATAAAACACAGTTATCGTCCATGTGTAAATTATTTCTCAGCTTAAACTTTCATATTCAGAAATTCGACAAGTTGTTCACCTGCATAGACTTGATTATTACAAAGATTTAAGCCTTTCAATTAGTTGACAGAAGTTATAAGTTGTACAACAGAAAACGTATGGATAGCTTGCTGAATGCAATTCTGAAAAACAACAAATCAATCGTGAAACAAACGATTAAACTTCGTTATCAGTATCAAATTCAACAAGTAAATGAAATAGCAACTGATAGGATGTACCTCTAAGTGTCTTACTTGCTGTAAACAGTGCTCCTCATTTTCTAACCTTCCTAGAATTTCATCTAGTTATTTGATAATAACAAACAAACTTCAGACACCAAATGAAGGGACTCACAAACTTTGATTAATTATATGAAATTTGAGAAAAATCCAATTACAACGTTCATAATACTGTTAGCAGTTCACTGTTTACTTACAATAATGAAATAACTGGTAAGCACTATTTAGCGATTACTCGTCAACGTGCATTAAAACTTCGTTAATGATTTGGTCAGTGATTTCGGATCCTGTTAACAGAAATTTATATTTTAACCCTATACGAGACATCATAAACTACTATTATCTACGGCATGTTTTAGTTACCATGCTCATAACAAACACGTATCGCTTTACTGAAGAAGAGTATTTGGCTAACTTATGTGGCACTTACAGCAATGTTCTACATAATTCCTGTATAAATTTAGAAAGCGGGCAGAGAAATTTATCAACGCCAATTGTTACTTACATAATTTTTTCTTTCTCACATTACGTAATAAAATATCAGTTCAGTTGACAACGATGATACTTATCATGGATAGAACCGTTTACGGCTGTACATAAATAGTTCATATCGTAATGTAGCACGTTATATATTGACGTTCACTTGGAAGCAGGAGCGATCTGAAACAACAACACTAAAGTCAGGACCGGTAAGTGCCGTTGAAGTAAGAACACAGTGTACTGGCAAAACAGATATATTTTTAAAAATGAAAGACACGGTTCGAGTACAAAAAGGGAAACTTACTACATAATAGTTTTATTCACTGTTCTGCTCGTTCAGATCATCTTTTTCCAGAACGTTTGCTCTTTGTTGCCCTGCAATAGAAAAACAAACTCCCATTAGAAACGTCGCATGGAATGATTATTATTACCATTACAAGATTCATGAATAGTTTGACACTCAATTGCATCAATCTACAATTTATAAACAACTACCAACACCAATGTTCATCACTATCATAATAAGGGAGGTGAGTCATATGTAAATTATTTTACAGCTTCTTTTTGATTGAAACTACAATTTCGGTCTATTTTTGACTTGATGAATGGTGAATTTCACTTGCCTGAGTTTGCATTGTCACAAATTACCAAATTAGGCTAACTAAACATTCATTCAGGTTATGAGCAACAAAAACGTCAGGCAACCAATAGACTGAAATAAAAGCCATGTAACAAGCACAAATATTACAAAAATTGAAATGTGACGGAAAAATTCTGTGATTAGCTGATAAATAACGACATTACAAATCCGCAACAGTAAGTAACATGTCAGCGAGAATCAAGATATGACTTTTCGACCATACCGACATATATGATTGACCCTATCAAAAGCTTTTGAGAAATCAAGGTAGTTGATGTCAACCATCCCCTTGCGGTCAATGATGCTGGTCCATCTGTCCACTTCAGTCAGCATTTCGGCACTCAGGCTCACTTCGGAATGTCCTGTACAGTTGCAGATGAAGCTTCCATCGGTGTGGTTGATGTGGGTCGTTTGAAATGTCCGATAATATTGTTCAGTCAAAAGGTTAACGGCATCCCCGTCGTTGTTGGTCGAACCATTAGGACCAAGCAGTTGGGAAACTCCAGTTTTGGCTTGTCGAAGAGAAGCTGCATAACAGAATAAGCTTTTTGGATTGGCGAAAATTTGCCACAAGTTTTATTTGGTACTGAAGCCTATTTTCTCTTATCGCCTTTGTGCATATGTTCATTATATATTTGTAATGCATGTACGCTGCTTTCTTACTAGTTCGTTTGTATTCAGCCCAAGAGTGCCTTTTCAGGCTTAGCAGACGAAGAGTGTGGTTCTTTTTGATTGTACGTTGCTTATAGCTTTTGGGGACCGTTTGAGGAAGTGAATGCTTAGTAGCACATAAGAGCATTTTCAGTAAGAAATCCTTATTATCACCCACTACAAATGGACGGTGGACATCCCATACCACTTGTTGTAGATAGTCCTGTAAAGCTGATACATTCAATCGTCTGAAACTCTAGCGCCTGATGTTGGTGAGATAACTTAGCTCAGTTTCATGCAGTTAGTTCCCTTTATGGATTTAAATAAAGACAGAACACTTTTGCTGACAAAACAGAAGGATATAATGGCGTGATCGTTTTTCCCCAGGGAGGCCAGGATTGAGAGGTTGTCGCCTAGGAATTCTTCATTTGTAAATACTCAGTCTAAGCGCGATGGCGTTTGACTGGTACTGATTTTTGCTCTCAGACTCACTTAAACTTTGGGAGATCTAAAACTTGTTCTTGAACCGCATGTGAAGTTTGGTAAAAATGGTATTATAAAAAGCAATATGAAAAGCACATTAATTTCCACATATTCTGTGGTTTATTAATTCCAATTTGTTTGTATCGTCTGTGAGGGTTAGTTTGAACATGAAGTTTTTGATTGGTAGGTTTGTAGCACGTTATTATAGCGTTTGCTTAGAAGCAGAGGCGGTCGTGCAACAAATCACAAGAGTAAGACCGTTGGAGTTGACTTGCGAGCAGTCTGCTTTTTACGTGCTATCCTTAAATATCAAGAGACAATGACATCAGACACCACTACATGATCTCATTTAATTACGTTCTTGGTACGATGTGTCAGTATGGTCACTTCACCGATTTGTGCTTAGCCTTAACTACATGTATAACGAATTTTTGGTCAACTCCAAGTATTACATCTCAAGTGAGTGTGGAGCATACTAAGAATTCATGTAGGAAAGAGTGTCCCGAACAACCAATAAAAGGGAAAATGCGATGGGAAATAATGGGGAAATGCGTCAAAATGTCCGCTTTTTCATCTATCAGGGGGAAATAATGCGAATTTTCTCCTTTATGTTGCTCTGCGCTTCAAAATCGCTCCAAATTGTCTGCCTTTCGCCTATATACACACCGTTGTATGTAATTTTGCATCCACTCTGAAGACACCTTTGTCATTACCCCAAACATCTGTGTTCGCCTTCAGTCCCACAACACAGCATAGGAAAAGCGGAATGTATGTAAAATGTGGTATAAGTTCAAAAAATGTATTAGAAACAAAAAGCGTATTGTTGTACAACGTTATGAGTAGTTGGCTAGTTGATGCTAGAGCATCAATCTTTATATTTTAATTGCAATTGTCAGGCGCCAGTGTCATTTGGAAAGATCTAAAAAAGAAAGAGCAGGTGGTGTTTCATTATTAAGGTGCGTGTACTGGATTTGACTTGACGAAGAACCTTGTAGATGTAGATAGCATAACTCTCCAAATACATTTAAAATCAAACAGGCTTTCTCAAATAAAAAAGTAAGCACATTTTCTAAGAACAATTTATTGAAAATGGAGTTGAACAGGAAAAGCATTTCACAGATTATTTCTTTTCCTAACGCCTGTCCGACTACTGAGAATCAAAACAATCTTGTAACTTTTAAAATTTAAAGAAAAATATGTTACTATATCTGAATGACTTGTTTTTGCACAACTAACTACTTGAAGCTGAACTTACGGTTATGCTCGTTAACATTGAGAACCCTACATATAGAGCAGTAGATAATAGTAATCACTTTAAATCCGTACTTACGTGTTCTTTCTTCGTCCGATAACAATTTTGTACCTTGTCTCTCATGTCATGAAATCGACTTTTCCCTTTAAATAACCGACATGAATGCGAAAAATCGACATTTTTCCTTTATTTACACTTTCGTTCGCTTTATTGGTTGTTTGGGGTTCGTTCACCGTTACAGGTCTGAGTAAGCCTAAACACTAATTGGGATGGCGATATATATCATTCTCGTTCTCAGTTTCGACTGAAACAGTCAGAATTCACAATATTAACAGCATTGGGGTAGTAATAACGTCCGCTCTGTAAGCTACGAGTTTGATTGTCTCATACTGAAATCCGGAAAGGGTAGAAAAGCTACCAATAAATCCGTGGTTTTTAAACAAATTACCAGATAACAGGGTCCTGTTATAAACAAAATGACAAGTCGTGTAAGCCTTTCCTACGTATTTCTAATTTCTCTCTATATAACATATCCAAGTAAAAAAGTAAACGCGTGTACAGTAAATGAATAATATTCAGTATAAATGGTTACATAACCTCGAAATCATGTTAGTACATCCTCATTACGAACCGTACATATCATTAGATGACTTCTAAAATAAAGTTGGAGTCAGCCCGTATAGCGGAGTTATATTTCAGTATGTGTACTATTAGTAAATTACCACAAAAAGTAAAACAATTGTTAAAATGGTACCGTGCACCTAAAGAACGGGAAAATTTTACACGCATTATCTTTCCTTCTGTGGTAATGCATATTACTTAAAAGCTTAGAATCTGGGGAACCACAAATAATGGATTCGCCTGCTCCACTGCAAACTATTTTGAGCCATGTCATTCAAGACCCAATTACCGTCGGTTACAATAATCACGAGGACCCCAACCAGCTAGTATACACCTACCAACGCAGTTCACTCCAGTTGCCAATGGTTACATGGACTGATCCTATCTCTTGGTCTAGTCACCCCCAGCTTTAGCTGCACGTAAATTTTGCATAAAACATGATAGTATGTTACGTTTCACCACGGCAGTGTGAAACTGCATTTATGATAGACCAGTTACCATCTTCATCAAACGTTTTTTTGAGGTCCATGTTTACGAAGCTATCGGAATACATACACATTTTCGTTAGCAAGCCACTGGCTTGTTGCAACGATTATCTGCTTTCCCGAAGAATTAATGACAGCAAACTGTTTAGCTGTAAGGAATTTAAAATTTAGAAATTAGTTTACTAAAATTCCTAACATTAGTTAGAGAATAGGAAGCTTATTTACGGAAATATATGTATCAACGAAGGGGTTACTACTTTGATGCGAATATTTGAAAGATCTGATAGGAATTAGGCACTGAGTATGTGAAAGACATTTATTACGTTGTTTACACAGTTAACAGAGAAAAATATGCAGCAGACATCATCGATAGAAACCCATACATACTCATGACTAACTGCAAAGCCCATAAATATACCTATCCTTATTACTGCAGCACCAAGAATGATAGCTCAGTTAGCTTGATAGTTTCTTCTAGTTGTTTTTCCCTTGCCGTAATTGCATCTCTTGATAAATATTACTGTCAGTTTATCTAGTTTTCAGCAATAAAGATAAAACGTCGGTCCTTGCAGTATGTTTCCCATTGGAGATCCAGTTTCTCCTTTAAAGTGTTACTCGAAGGTCGGTTACTATCTACTTGTTCTGCATGTTCTAGTCATTAACCACTCTGTAAGAAAGACTAAACCCTAACCCGGGTCTATTCGATCATGGTTTCGAAATCCTTTTTTAGTGTCAACAGGGATGTTTAGTTCTAGAAAAAGCAAGAAGATAGAACATGTCTGTAACCAAGTCGTCGTTCAAGACACAGAATCTTAGTGTCACATCTCATCCCCCAAATGCCGAGAGTGGGGAGGCTCCGAGTGTGGCCCTCTAAGAAAACCGCTTACTTCGGCCTGGGCACCCGGGCAGTATCATAGCCCACACGCAAATCGAGTGACTTGTGTGGCGCATATGTGCTCGGTGCCCCTTTGTGCCAATATTTGTGTGTTCAGATAAAATAAAATCGACTAAATAAGGGAGACGAATCCAAATGTTTCAGTTACCTTTATATGACAGACTGGGAAGTCTTTGTACCAAGTTGATATATATACTCTGAACACTAAAGAGCACAATACAGTTAGTCATGGACCAAACTTTTGGTTACAGTAACCTAGATGAGATCTTACGCAGGTAATATTTATACATTTCGAAACATTTCATCAAAGCATTTTGAGGCTCCTTGAATTAGCTACACAATTGGTTGCATAACTGGTGTGCTGTTTTCAATTTTCAGTTAAGTATCGAGGGATTATAGGAAATAATCCATCAAACATTGTGACCCCTGAACTGATTATTACTTTTTTTACAAACTCAAACATTCAGAGGTTAGTCATAGTCTGATAGATCAGCGTCCTAATTCTAGGCTACAAGTAATACGTTAATCAATGTAATCGTTAAACTGAATCGCCATTCTTTAAAATTACTGGAGGTAACCCATCAAGGCTTTTTCTTATTCTCATACCTGGTGATAAAATAATGGTAATATCCATCCCCTGGACTTTTAAGTGATTCAGTGGTTAATAATGCAATGAATCAGATAATATATTGCCTTCTACTACTGAAATTACGTTTCAACGGAGTTCATATGGACCACTGGACTTGGTTTGGTACTTTGGAACAGTCGTAAACAGATTTCTTTCTAAACGACTGGACTGTTTTTAGTTTCCAAAAAGTACTCAACTCAGATTAGAGAACTATCTTACGCTAAGGAATTTTACTTCCTAAACCTCACTGATAAAATATCTGGTAGATTATTTCATAATTAATAAGGATACTGTTCTTCATAACTTATGCTAACTTCTCGGTACATTTGCAGATCAGCTTCTTGTATGTAACTTGAATTTTATTGCTCTATGATCCAACCTGTATCGTATTTGACCTTCGATTATTAGACGTAACTGGAGTACAGTTTCTGATCTAGAGGGATCATAGCAGCTTTTAGAAATCCAGTTTTCGAACAACATGAAACCATTCAATATCTCCATATCATTCTGGTCATACTCCTGTTATTGTCAGCTGTTTTTTAAAATTTATCTTATTAAATCTCTTAACCCTCTTAAAGTCAATGCCTTTATTTAACAGGTGGTGGCACGGGACTAATAGGTCGATCACTTGTTTCATCACTTCGATCAACCGGACATAATGTACAAGTTATCTCACGCAAACCGAAGGAAAAAAATGATTTGAGCTGGGTAGACTCTTTTTTAAAATATGAAGGGCTTACCTATTAGGATTCTATCAAGAAGAATGGTTTACCAAGTGATGTAGATGTTATTGTAAACTTGAGCGGTCGAAACATTGGTGAAGTTAACCTACTATTTTTTATCAAAGAGTCAGTTAACTTTGCTTACATTCACATTTATTTCCATGAATCACAGGAATTACTATAGTTATATTGAAGAAGTTTTTACCAGTCGTATAGACACAACCAAGCTTCTTGTTGATTTATCAAAATCTGCCCCAATAAAGGCATTCATAAATGCATCAGCGGTTGGTGAGTTCAATAATTCATAAACTCAACTTCTGTTTTGCGTATACAACACAATGTTAAATTTACAAGGATCATCAGCTTCTAGTAATTCTGTCAAACTTGTTAAGAGTTATTATAAGGAAGACTGTGTGTAATTTTGTAAACAAAAGGTAAGTAGCATAGAGCGTCTACCAAAGTTCCCCAACCAACCCTGTCCTGGGCTCCTTTCAAACTGTTATTCATTGTTTCGATGTCTGCCTACAGTTCCCGGCTCAATCCTTTCTTTGGTCTGCTTTTCCTTTTGCCTTCAGGATTTCAAGTTATGGCCTGCTTTGTGTTTCAGTTTAATAAAGTAATAAATATACCAAGAGAAAATCAAGTGCGCTGTAATATACATTCACTATTAAGACTTCCTTACAAGACTGATCAGTATTTAGCATATCAAAGTAATCTCTCAGCGAATGAACAGCTCTCTACAAATTATTGTTTTGCACACTTTGCAATTATTATGAATGGAGACGAACATACATCCTTGCTACTGCCGTTATTGGTTTTCACTATGAATTCAAAAATTGTGCAATATAACAGTTTACAAATGTGTGATTATTCACACCCCAACTACTCACTTTTGTAAAAGTCGAACTAATTAGTTTGCTTACTTTATCAACAATAAGCTCCCAGATATGACACTTAATGATTGTCACATCATATTTCGAATTAATTATAAACAAAGATATTAGTTGGTAAGTTCCAAATCACTATCACATAGTGGTTTCGTGTAAAAATCGATAGTCGAGTTCATTAAGAGACCAAGTTTGGAATAGACTGGAAGTCGAGTACTTTTGTGACTTTCAATATCTTTTCGCAATGTCAGCTAACACCAAATTATTGTCTGCTCTAACTGGCGTTGAGTATCTATCATATTGATTCATAGACGTCAATTTTACAGTCAATACGTCGTCATCCACATACCCGATATCAGTGTTCTTTGTTAAAAACGAACGTTAGTTAATATCGGGTTTCACTGATGATTTTTAGATAAACTGAAGAACCTTTATTTTCTCAGTAGGTATATCCTACCTAATTTGAAGTGATGGACATTTCAGTCTCCATCTTTTATTTGTTCAACTTAGTTGTGCATTAGCCTTTTTACAGTTATAATTCTTACTGAACTTCCTTCAAATAAACAGGAAAACATTCATAAGTAGAACTAATCACCGTTTTTGATCTAACCATCTTGATAGTTTGTGCACACAATATTCCACTGTGGTACATTTGTGTTTATCTCTGTTGTATTTTTTGGTAGGTTTCTACCCTCCTGATCTGCAAACCACATATGATGAATCTACTCCACCCAGAGATTGCAATTTTATTACAAATCTTGTTAACCAATGGGAAGATGCAGCTCAAATACCCTCTAGACCAGATATTCGTCAAATTCAACTGCGAACAGGTGAGTTTTGAAGTTTCTTAGTACTTCTTGCCTAACCTGACAAATGTTGCTTGCTATTCCAGAAGAAGTTTGTATGAAGGCTAGGGTTAGTCGAACTAAGACATAGCATCAGTTCGTGACGTCATTGTCTGTTGGTCTAAGTCATTTCGGCAGACCTAAACTACCCAGTTTGGGGCCCGCGTAGTAACTGCGATCAATATTTGGGGACTGTGAGTGATATGGTTCACAATCAATCACACTGGTGTAGCTGCATTCACGTTTTCTGTTCCTTTCGATTTTGATCTTCAGTATCCTTTTATTACGAACTTCACTCTTCTAAATGTTTTTAAACCGTATTCCCAAGACTTAATCTTTTTTTTATCGTTGCCGATGCATTATTTTGAAATCTTTTATTTTAATCCCGTGGCACACAGCACATTTATGCCAGGTTCTTTTTTGATCTTTGTCGATTTATCAATTTTTACACTTAAAAACACATTTCTCAGCCGACTCAATCTTCCCTTCACTTTACAATCAGGAAAACGTAGTATGTTTTCATACTAAGGGTTTTAGTGCTCATGGAGAGTTAGTTTTCAATATATGACCAACTCCCCCAGCGTTGTTTAGATTAGCATTTGTTTACATAAGTTATCAGGTTTCATAACTGCCTATTTCATATTTTCTTTGCTACCTCGTATGGACATTGGTTTTTTTCTAATCTGCTTCCTTGAGGTTATTGCCTAACAATACTTTTTAAACATCGTTGTCTTTCATATTAGTCCACCAAGTACACTGACAAATGTCTTGCTCCACTTTATAAATTTGTGGATGATTGACCGCTATGGTTTGGTCCTTGCGATAACCGCAATTAGTGGTTCGAGGAGCTAGGTGATATGACTGAACGTTCGTCACATTGGTGTGAATGTACTCACTGCCTATTTTCCCCTAGATCTTAATCTTCGATATTATCCCGTATTTTTTATCCCTCAAATCCATTCTTCTTGAGACATATTCTCTAATGTTTAGTCCTTCACATTATCAGTGATATTACTATCATCTCGACGTTTTTGTCATTCATCTTGTTAACTTCATTCCCCTTTGCTGTTGTATGGCACTTTAAGCCGACATATTTGACTCAGACTCCGTGTTGATTGTAATTAGCTAACAAAATTATAGAAGACTGGTTTTTCACATCTGAATGGTTTGAGAAATCTAGACTGCTAGTTTAAGTGTGATTCAAAAATCACTAAAGTTGGTTCAAATGTTATGTAACAAGTAGTTGCTGACACAAATGACGACTAAGGATATCATTAAAGCAAAAATAGTGCATGAAGAATTTATTTCGTCTGCATATATCTTAGTTACGATTCGCGTAACTGTTGAATCAGAATTTGAGTGGTAACTATGGTCAAAACAAACTATATTTCATCACTTACGCTTTATGTTTCCAAAACGCAAATTTATGTAATTAGTATATAAACTTGAAGTGTTAAGTCGGCTTCCCGCGAACTCCAACAGAGCCCCCAGAGGCTCAAAAAGAGTCCCAACCAATCAGAGTACGACGGAACATTCTGGAGTTCCAACGTGGCACGCTACCATTGGTCAGTAGCAATATATGTCGTTTATTGGATTGGCTGAATTAGGATGTTGATTTAACTTAAGCAAACATCTATAAATACTTACGATTTTCTGTACAAAACTGATCCTTGCAGTAAAGGTTTTCTCTGCTACTCGTGTCTTCAAGTTGCTGAGTAGTGCTAGCCTGGGGTTATCCGTTATAGCTTAGGATCTGAATAAGCGTTCAACCTGCAAGACATATCATGAAGTAAATGTGATCAGCTAAAAAATAAAGGCAGTGCATATAGCAATGGGGAGTCCAACAATTTCTAATTCTTAGAAATAACCATACCTATGAGGAGAGTACAATTTCGATGGTTGGTAGTAAAGTAAATGCAAACCACTCTCAGATAAAACTGAGTCAAAGTGGCTTGATGTTTACAGTAAGGTATGGCTGATTTCTCTAGTTACGTAAATAACTAACAACATATGATGACGGTAAATAACTGGGACAAGAATGCTTCATAAAATTACGTTCAGTTTTAACTGATTCACTAGGCGATATCAATATGATTGTCTTACGAAGTGTAGATCAAACCATCTTGAGATTACAAATACATTCTTCTCGCCGATGTCAACACAAATAGAATGAGATTTGTGCGGTGCATGTGTATCTGGTGCTTCCAATGTCAACAAGCTAAATAAAGACCCTTGTTAATTTTCTTGTTCAACTCTCTAGGTTCATTCTTTTTGGTAATTCTTAGTAATTTTACTGACCACCATTCTTACTCATAACATGAAGCATTTTCCAAAGTTTTCATTTTTTTCCTTCGTTTTAGGTGTAGTTCTTAGCAAAGACTCACATTTCATTCGTACTGTTCGGCACGTTTTTCCCCTTGGGTTTTGTAATCCGATTGGTACTGGTCGTCAATGGATGTCTTGGATTCATTTAGATGATTTGGTTAGAATAATTGAATATGTTTCCGACCCTGAACGAGTATTTCCAAGCGGACCTGTCAATTGTACTTCACCTAAACCTGTCCAGCAGGTTACTTTTGCTAAAGCCATGGCTGAGTCACTTAGTGCTCCGATGAATATCTTTTCTGATGCTCCAATTCCATCGTTTCTTTTTACTTTACTTCTTGGTCGCGATCGTGCTACCTTAGTTTTAGATGGTCAGCGTGTGATTCCTAGGAAGCTCCTTAATGCAGGGTTCGAGTTCAAATACCCTGATATAGCAGATGCTTTGGAAAATATTTTCGGTCGTCGACCCCGTTCATAACTGTCACGTCTTAACTTTTTATTGAACAAAGTTATCTATTAATAAAATATTACTCACCATGTTTTCCTCTTGTTATTTGTTCAACCATGATATTTAAATCTAGTTGCACCTAAATAATTTCTACTGTCTCACATATTCATGTATTATCTTTCCAACGCTATAATTGTGACTCTTCCTACATGGGAACTTTGTGTTATATTGCAGTTTCACCATTCACCAATAAATTCAATACATTTCAACTTTTAGGAGCTAGTCTTTACTACTTTGTGTATAACTAAGCAATACAATTATTTATATCCTGCAAATTTTGTTTTTCTTGCTCAGCTATAATTTCTAATGGTCGACAAACGTGTGTGTCGGTCGATAACGCTAATCATTTCTGTCGTAGGAAGTGTTGAGGGTGTCAAATCCCCATAACTTACTTGGTAAATAGCTTAGTTTTGTAATTTTATTTTGGAAATTTGAATTTAGCTGTTTTCGCACCAAACGCGCTGTTTTTACCTTCACGTCATATTTCCCACTTGTAAACTATCTTAAACGCTATTGGTCCATTGTTTCTTTGTGTGCTATTTATTAATGATGCTCAAGGATAATTTGTTGCTGTATAAATCCGCTTGACTTTTTCCCTTATTTGATTGCTTGTACTCAGCTGCTTACGGAATACATATATTCCCCTACTTGCCTTGGACTTCTTCATCTAGTTAGCGGGGCCTGGGACAACAGATGAGAATAGCTTATCGTGTCATTGGCTTTCGTTCCTTACTGCGGAATCAATTTAGTTCAAGCATATCAGGAAGTGCTTTTCTATATATTGTCAGCAAGAAATCATGTGATTGCGGAATACGACAACGGTCACATTGATTATCACAATATTTAGTGTATAAAAGTAGCCTTAAGAATGTTAGTTATCGTCTTAATAACCATGTATAGCGGAGGACGGGTCGTTGTCCGGAATTAGTAAATTTTCAATGATATACGAAACTAAATTATCTAGTTTCATGTTTGCTGAACATTATAGTGGGATGTGAAGTCAAACATATTTTCATTTTGAAATGCAATTAATGTGCACCTAATATTTTTAAATGGTTCCGCGGAATTCCAGTTCAGAGCATATGCCAATTAACTCGATTTTAAGCACGTCAATTTAATACCCCTATTATAGTATTATAAACGGAAGATTATAAATGTATGATTTGGTTTATAATCTATAGTTAGTCATCGAATGTCCAATTCTTGATTTAACTGGTCGTCAGCAGGGAGAATTTACTATTAAAATCACGCCGTAGGTGTTAAAATATTTATATTAACTTCATTCAGTATTGTTTGTTTGACTTCAGCATTCATGCCTGATGTGCGCCTATCCCAACCCTTTCAGGAGGTGATATGACAGGATTATATGACAAAATTACGTTTTAGACTCATTGTGATATTTGTTCAACACTACTTCCGTTTTTAGTTCAATATGATGGTTCCTCAATGTAGTATTTATTTTATTTCCAGTGGGGTATTCTTTTCAGTATAACATTCATTTATTTTAATATGATGCTTATTCAAGATAATCTTTGCATGAATTCATGTTAGGATTCCAAGTTTGGGTTTCTGCAGTAATTCTGTGTATTGAAAACAGCACACCAGTTATGCAACCAATTGTGTAGCTAATTCGAGGAGCCTCAAAATGCTTTGATGAAATGTTTCGAAATGTATAAATATTACCTGCGTAAGATCTCATCTAGGTTACTGTAACCAAAAGTTTGGTCCATGACTAACTGTATTGTGCTCTTTAGTGTTCAGAGTATATATATCAACTTGGTACAAAGACTTCCCAGTCTGTCATATAAAGGTAACTGAAACATTTGGATTCGTCTCCCTTATTTAGTCGATTTTATTTTATCTGAACACACAAATATTGGCACAAAGGGGCACCGAGCACATATGCGCCACACAAGTCACTCGATTTGCGTGTGGGCTATGATACTGCCCGGGTGCCCAGGCCGAAGTAAGCGGTTTTCTTAGAGGGCCACACTCGGAGCCTCCCCACTCTCGGCATTTGGGGGATGAGATGTGACACTAAGATTCTGTGTCTTGAACGACGACTTGGTTACAGACATGTTCTATCTTCTTGCTTTTTCTAGAACTAAACATCCCTGTTGACACTAAAAAAGGATTTCGAAACCATGATCGAATAGACCCGGGTTAGGGTTTAGTCTTTCTTACAGAGTGGTTAATGACTAGAACATGCAGAACAAGTAGATAGTAACCGACCTTCGAGTAACACTTTAAAGGAGAAACTGGATCTCCAATGGGAAACTGTGATGTTTAAATAAATCAATGACTTCTTAGTATTGATGACTGTTGTAATTTTGAATTCCAAATACAATACATTCGTTCGAGTTCATCTGATACTTCTTGATTAAATTGCGTTATTCCTGGGATTACTAGTTCATACTACAATTCAAATACTTCTAATTATCATATTGGCGTCGCGACTGAGCCTGTGATGGAACGGTTAAATATAAATTCAGATTTTAATGCTTTTGAGGAGTACATGGAAAGGTTCGAAATCTGGGCTATGACCAAGGAAGATGATGAGGATTTTAATATTGTGGCCCATTTCCTTACATTCATCGGGAAAGAAGCATACAGCCTTATAAAGATTTTGGCACTTCCAGACAAACCGATTTCACTCCCCTATGCAACTCTCAAGCAACTTCTGTTGGATCATGTAAAGTATACAAATTCCGAATGCGGTAAGAAAGGAAAATCCGATAAAATGACTCGTCAGAACATCAGGAATTCCACTTATTCAAACAGTCGTCGTAGTTCGATGCGTAATCAAATTTATTCAGATAATACTTCATTGAGTTGTGAAACAGTCCATGATGATGAGCACAAGTTTAGTAAATGCATGTTCTGCGGCAAGTTTCACCCATGTAATTCATGTATATTTCGTAATTCTAAATGCTTTAAATGTGGTATAACTGGACATATTCAGTCAGTTTGTAATACCATGGTTCATTTCGCTGAAAGTAATGCTAAGATGGATGCTTCTAATGATCAGTTATCTTTATCTAGAAGAGGTATAACGTTATATAACAGTCCAGAGTTGAATGAAACCCAGAGTCATTGGGAGGCGAAAATTCTCAACCAATCAACTTATCGGATTTCTCATGTTATTGTATCAGATATGGTTTGTCGTAATAATTCACATACTTCTGATGTAATTTCTTACAACTCTGAGAATAGAATGTTAAATGAGTCAAATCATGATCAAAAACCAAATTCAGTCATGGTAGATGTTGAATTCCCTGATGATCCATTACCTAATGAAACTCTTAATCAATTTGAGGAAAATATTTCAGAAGAATCGAATTCTGATATCATATCAAGTGTCAGTGGTCCTCATAATGAATTTATCTCTAATGATATTCCTCATGAATGTGAAAAATATGTTTCTTATGAATTGAATTCTAGTCATATTTCTGATGTTATTGTGTCATATGTTGGATACTCTCACGAACAATGCATGTTGAATAGAATCCCTAGTCAGGGGTATAATGATACAGAGGGGATAGCAAAATTTTCCGAAGCAACCAGAGAACCAGTTTGCCCAGAAGTGAAGTTTGCACAGACAGATAATCCAAATCAAGTCCAAGATTATCCTAATGAATATGAGGCAGATGAATGTTTTCTATCCGATTGTTTCGCAGGTAAATCAAGCCTAATTGAATCACGTGTGTTAATTACATATATCAATGTATATCCATCTGTGTATTCTAATATGAATAACAAAAAGAATATGTATCATGATTTTTATTCAAGTCAAAGTCACATGATGGAATACCTCAAATTATATATCAGTGTTTATTCCCAAATACTCACATACAGTAGTCGGTGCGTAAGATTTGAGATAATGCAAATTGGGAACGTCATATTGGCTAAAACATTGCGAATCAAGGACCCAACATTATTTCGTGGGGGAGGATATTGTTGGAAAGTCCATGATGCAAATTCTAAATATCAATGGTTTCACTACACAACCGACATGCTGATTGTATACAATTCTAGAACCCAGAGTGCATTCTAGATAATACAGAGTGTACATTCAATACACCATCGGACAGATGTAGGATGAACTTAAGAAGAAGACAAACAATCGATTACAGACACTTACACTTCAATTCGAGCTGTGGCGGATGTGATGTTTAAATAAATCAATGACTTCTTAGTATTGATGACTGTTGTAATTTTGAATTCCAAATACAATACATTCGTTCGAGTTCATCTGATACTTCTTGATTAAATTGCGTTATTCCTGGGATTACTAGTTCATACTACAATTCAAATACTTCTAATTATCATAGAAACATACTGCAAGGACCGACGTTTTATCTTTATTGCTGAAAACTAGATAAACTGACAGTAATATTTATCAAGAGATGCAATTACGGCAAGGGAAAAACAACTAGAAGAAACTATCAAGCTAACTGAGCTATCATTCTTGGTGCTGCAGTAATAAGGATAGGTATATTTATGGGCTTTGCAGTTAGTCATGAGTATGTATGGGTTTCTATCGATGATGTCTGCTGCATATTTTTCTCTGTTAACTGTGTAAACAACGTAATAAATGTCTTTCACATACTCAGTGCCTAATTCCTATCAGATCTTTCAAATATTCGCATCAAAGTAGTAACCCCTTCGTTGATACATATATTTCCGTAAATAAGCTTCCTATTCTCTAACTAATGTTAGGAATTTTAGTAAACTAATTTCTAAATTTTAAATTCCTTACAGCTAAACAGTTTGCTGTCATTAATTCTTCGGGAAAGCAGATAATCGTTGCAACAAGCCAGTGGCTTGCTAACGAAAATGTGTATGTATTCCGATAGCTTCGTAAACATGGACCTCAAAAAAACGTTTGATGAAGATGGTAACTGGTCTATCATAAATGCAGTTTCACACTGCCGTGGTGAAACGTAACATACTATCATGTTTTATGCAAAATTTACGTGCAGCTAAAGCTGGGGGTGACTAGACCAAGAGATAGGATCAGTCCATGTAACCATTGGCAACTGGAGTGAACTGCGTTGGTAGGTGTATACTAGCTGGTTGGGGTCCTCGTGATTATTGTAACCGACGGTAATTGGGTCTTGAATGACATGGCTCAAAATAGTTTGCAGTGGAGCAGGCGAATCCATTATTTGTGGTTCCCCAGATTCTAAGCTTTCCGGATTTCAGTATGAGACAATCAAACTCGTAGCTTACAGAGCGGACGTTATTACTACCCCAATGCTGTTAATATTGTGAATTCTGACTGTTTCAGTCGAAACTGAGAACGAGAATGATATATATCGCCATCCCAATTAGTGTTTAGGCTTACTCAGACCTGTAACGGTGAACGAACCCCAAACAACCAATAAAGCGAACGAAAGTGTAAATAAAGGAAAAATGTCGATTTTTCGCATTCATGTCGGTTATTTAAAGGGAAAAGTCGATTTCATGACATGAGAGACAAGGTACAAAATTGTTATCGGACGAAGAAAGAACACGTAAGTACGGATTTAAAGTGATTACTATTATCTACTGCTCTATATGTAGGGTTCTCAATGTTAACGAGCATAACCGTAAGTTCAGCTTCAAGTAGTTAGTTGTGCAAAAACAAGTCATTCAGATATAGTAA